CAAGCGATATGCTGTGGGAAGTGGGACCAAAAGGACTTGCGTGGGATCGAGAATGGTGTCTGGTCCACGAGGGCACCAACGTTGCACTGAGTCAGAAGCGCTTCCCCAGGATGGCACTCATTTGGCCTGAGATTGACGTGGAAAGGAACGTCCTTCGGGTTTCGTTCGTACCAGGGTCTTCGCAAAACAAAAGGACGCTTGTCCTCAGTTTGGACTCACACGCCATACGCGCCGACACGATTACCAAATGTGAACGCACAACCAATAGATCATCCAATGTATGTGGCGAAAATATTCAAGTCCATGTCTATACTTCTCCCGAAGTAGTGGACTTTTTCACCGAAGCGTTGGGGGTTCCTTGTACGCTCGCGAGGTTTCCTAACGACGGTACCATCAGGCAGGCTAAAGTGCGAGTGCCTGGGTTGCAGCAGGGCAAACAAGCCACCGAGGTCGGAAAATCAATCGCCTTGTCCAATGAAAGCCCGATCTTACTTGTTTCTCGGTCCAGTGTGAATCGTCTGAATGAGCACATCAAGCAGAACGGTGGCATTGGCAGGGCTGTCACCGCCGACTCTTTCCGCGCCAACGTCGTCATTGCTGAAGACCTTGAACGAGGGCAAATGGAGTCGCCATACATCGAGGATGAGTGGGCAAGCGTCCAGATTGGAAATGACCGCGCAAATGCCTTCGAAGTCCTGGGGCCATGCCAACGATGTCAAATGGTTTGCGTAGATCAGAAAAGCGCACAGAGGAGGCAAGAACCATTCAGTACATTGGCGAAGACAAGGCGCAAGGACGGCCGAGTGTGGTTTGGCGTACACATGTGTTTGAAAGCTGGCCACCTGGCGGATGATTTCTCTCATTGGCCGCCTGTTAGCATCAAGGTTGGAGATCGACTTACGCCATGGACGGCAAGCTGAAGTGGTGCCTGTTCACAGAGTTCGATAGTGTGGCTCCAGATAATACTGTAGTCCCTGAATTGGTATATCCGGTCATCTGTCCGAAGTGACCCGAGAAAGAAAACGCATCTCAGATCTCATCGCAACTGGGTCCAACCCTAGTTCCAGAGATTTCGAAGCGGCGGCCACAGCTACAGCGATGCAGTGGTTGAAGGACACTGTCTCAGCCCACGAACCAGCGTAGAGTGGGTCAGCACCGGCGCATCTGCCGTTTCAGAACCAAAAGAACAATTTCGAGGATTTGCTGTGGAACAGGCATGGGTTTTGGCTTCCCTCCGGTCAAACGACCTACCTATCTGACATAATGGTCGTTTGTGATAGAAGCCGAGCGTCAGTTGGATTCACCACCCATATTCACTGCTGGTGTTATGCTAAGGTAGTGTCACTGGTTGTTGTAGTGAGGCAGTACCATCACTTGGTATGGTAACAGCCCTAGTTAAGAAGGCACAACTTCTTCCCTTCAACAACTCTCCTTCATAGATATTCATACAATCAATTCAGACTACTAGTTCCAACTGCGTCTGCGTTGTAAGCTCTCAGCAGATTTCATTTTGATAGACTGCCACGTAATATCAGCTGGAATCCTCCGAGCTAGCAGCTGGATCTGATTTGACATTGGAAGTGACTGCCAAAACACTATTATACTCCCAAGTCTGTTTGGTAACAAGCGTGTCGTTGGGCTGGCTGATAATTTTCTTGAGGCTCATCACTCGGGGTAATCGGCGAGCTCGGGATTTAGATGAAACCGGCAGCTTCCAGTGGCGCACTGGAGGTTGGGGAGCCTAACAAGCCACAAGGCCAGGCAAGGATGACTGCGGGTGCAGCGGGGGTATTCCCTGTTCCGCTCGCTAGTTAGGCAGTTGAAGCACCTTGAGCCTACAAACGAGTACTGGAACGAGGACTCGAAGACGTGTGCTGTGGCCGCGTTTGGATGCTCTTGAGGCATGTCTCACCGAGTATAGGGCTCAAACAACGGCTTTTTTCCCGTCCATGAAACATAATCCCCTGTACAAGGTACCTCAGAGGTATTCAATCGATGCCGTCTTTGCGAGGTTGGCCATCCAAGCAATCATCCACAGTCCAATGAGATGTGCGACGTCCTAATGGTGACCAAGACGCCCAGTCTAATCTAGTGTTCCCTTCTGTTGTCACTGGGAGAAAAATCCGACAAGACTGCACATTCGTACTCGGTACAGGGCAAGATTACTCGTAATCCCTGGGTGGTCCGCTAAGAAGGTAATGAAGATCACAGTTCAGAGGGAAGGGATCGGGAAGTTTTCAGTCAGACTGGGTGACTGGGCGCATGGTCAGCGTTGGGACGTCAGCCACAGAACAGCGGTACCTGAAAGCCTTGTTCACCTATCTGTTTCGATCATGAGTCGTGGGGAGGGTCTTCTTCCAGTTTAGTGCACGCCACCCGGCCTGTTCTCGTAGAAAAGACCTTAAGATTGTTGCAAGTCGAGTCGATTACCTGGCCGAAATAGGACAGCACCTCGACGATTTGGGAGAAACCAGTTGAAGCAGAAAATGGAGCGGAGTTGGATCCTAACCAACAATGTCCAAGAGCGTGTGACGTTGTTGGCGAGAGGTCACCAAGAGCTAGCTCACAAGACGAACTAGTGATGGTGGTGGTGGTGTTGGTGGGCTCCCTAGGTGAGTGTGGTTGGAGATGAGGGAGGACGATTGGCTGAGACGGGCAACCATTGCCAAAGGCGCTCCAAGCTGCGCTGGGCCCTTACCAGCCACCAGCAGCCACCGATGACATGGCGTCATCTCGGGAGTTGGGAATCCTAGGGAGATGCATGGATGGATGTTCCACCGTGGATGTCAATCGAGCGTTGGGAGGGAGGAGACAAAGTGAGAGCAAGGAGATTAGAGAGCTTGTGGGAGGCTCGAAGATAGTCCCTAGAGGAAGTCACTAGAGGCATGCCCAATGGACAGGAATCCTTACTCGTCCATGTAGGCAGCTCTGAGGGCAGTGTAGGTACGTGATGTTTGGTTCATGGGTACCTAGGTAGGCACGTAGGTATGGCCCCCAGAGTCAACAAGCCTCATGACTGAACCACCCACCACCCTCCTGCACCTGCAGCGGGCACCCGTTCCTGGGGCCGAGGGGGCATCAGGGCGTCATAGGGCAACGTCACTGGCTGAAAGCTCCTCAACACTGCCACTCTGCCACTTCTGCCACACTTCCACACTTGATCCCTTCGCATGGACGTTTGTCAATCAATTCTCCTAACTCACGAATCATTCTTCGTCATTCCACAAACTTGCTCGCTGCTCTTGCTCCTCGCATGTGCCACATCTAAACCGTCCAAAGTCAATCAAGAGATCCCACCGCAAATCAGTGGCTCTAAAGACTTAAGCGACATTGGGGGTGTTACGGGGTAGCCCAGTGTCCTCGTCTCCTCCGTCCACGACGCCACCTGTTTATCTGTTTTCTGTTGCGATCTTCAAGCCGCTTGTGGCCACCCCGGCTAAACAGAGACAAGTTAAAACGAATCCACGTCCAGCGTCCTGCAGCCCTTAGCTGCCAGGGCTTCTTGAACCTGCCTCTTTTCCTCCCACCCCCAGTCTCCGATCCCACTTGCATACCACGATTCGGTTTGCCTGCGCCTCTTTTCCTCTTTCATCATCCTTCTACTCTCCGTCCTTCTCTTTGTTCCGTCGAACCAGAATAACACGGTGGGCTCGGAGGATCCTCCAGCACAAGTCAAAGCCCAGTCAAGTCCCACCAGCCAAACCACAACGCCGTTCCAAGCAGAACCCACCAGCCAGGGTGCGCCCAAGAGTAGGACCCTTTTATTAGTTTGTTCAGCACGGGCCTGCCTGACTGAGCCACTCGACCTCTCCTTGCTGCTGGCTGTTGTTGCTGGTGCTCCACTCGAATACCGTCACCATCTCCATCGCCTGCAGCCTTCGACCACTGGAACGGTTCACAACCACACGAGTCCTGTCGTTCATCTCTCCCATCCTTTTTTACTCGGCTGGTCGCGAGCCGTCTGCCAGAAAAACCAAAAAATTCTGTCGTATGAGGGCCAACGATCTGACGACTTGACAATCTTTGAGTTCAACCTCTATCTAACGAGCCTCTCACATTCTCGAAACTTGAATCCCCGCTCTCAATCGCGATCCATTAGATTGCAGCTAGCTAAACTGTCAAACGTTCTCGTCATTTCAACTCGGCTCTCCCGTTGAGATCCTAACAGCGCTCGTCAAACACACACCTTCCTACCAGTTATTCTCCTACCCTCCTCGCTTCAGTCCTTCCCTTCGCCCTTTTTGTACACGACTTGAACACAGCGAAATAACAGAACCCTCTCTCTCCTGGGCCGCTGATCCCCAAGCTATATCCCAATCGCATTCAGTGGCGCGCGATTCCTCGACCATTTCCCCTCACCGTCGAATCCTGACCTCTTTGCAACTTTCGCCCGTTGCGCACATTCGTTCTCCTCTTCGCTTGCTCCCTCGAAGCTCGGTCGGACTCGCTCTTTGAATTGAGGTTGAAGCTGTTCATTCGTCCGAACACATAATACACATATTTCAATATACCTCAGCCTAGCTCTTGGAAAACCCGTCCGCAATTCGATCCTCCGAAAAGCGCCACTGAAAAACTGGCCTACTCAGACAGTGCGTCACATAACATGCTGCGCATTCTTTTTGGTTGGGTGTCTAAGAGATAGGAGAAGAAAGGGACAGGCATTCGTCGGCGTCTATTGTTCGACTTGTCCTTCTATACAATAAGACATCCTGCTCTGCGGTGAGGCTGAGAAGTGCCTCGTACTCAGCCCACTTTTTTCAGCTAGGAAAGCCCCAGCACTGTCCACCCTATGCGCCCTACAAAAGGTACGCCGTCCTCAAGCCTCTGTAATCGTGTCGCAAACCTCCTCCTTGCTTTCTCTCCTGGTGCTACCCTTGACGCCCATCCAGCTCTGTTGAATACAAACAGCGATGTGGCATGCATGCAGCATTGGACTGAAGAACTTGGGCGCTGACGTTGCACGTAGGTTACAGTGACTTTTGCGACTTCAGATCTCTTTGATGGCTGATTCCAGCCCAGAGCCTAAATTATCCCCAGTGGATTCTGCTCCGACCTCTCCCATATTCGCTAAACCTCCCAGCTCAGGGCTACCTCCTTCCAAAGCCCGGGCTAGTTCGCGCGACGACTTTGAAGAGTCGTCGAGGCCCGGGAAGAGACCGAGACTCGACGGACCTTTCATGACTGCCGCTGCCGCTTTCGCCGAGGAACGACAGAAGGCATCTCAATCTACACCTCCGCCAACATCTGGAACAAGTCCAAATCCGTTGCACCAAGCCCGAAGTGCGCTCATGGGCTCAGACCAGACTGCGACGAGCAAAGCTCCCGAGGCAACACCAGAAATTCCTTCAGATCCCACCACTACCCTCAGTGAACCACTGGCTGTAGTCGCAGAAAACATTCAGCAACTGCCCGCTTCTGCTCCGGAAGGCTCTTTTACTGGAGATAACCATGCAGCGCTGACCAGTCCCACAAGCATGTCGAGCGGCGGGACATTGGGCACGCTAGAAGGCATGCCGGGGGTCTCGGGTATGACCACCACCGTGGGCAGCCCACTCGCGCTTGAAGACACACTCCGCCAGGTGGTGAATGCAGATGCAGGCTCGACTTCTCCTAGCGATGTCGCAAAGACAGGGGCGCTCTCATATCCAACCCCCTTCCTACAGCCGCAAGTAGCAGAAAACGCTGCTAGACGAGGGATGAGCTTGCCTCATTCCGGTACACGCCAAGGTACAAAATCTCCTTCCAGCAAAAAACATAGATGCCCCTATTGCGCCACCGAGTTTACTCGTCATCACAATCTGAAGAGCCATCTGTTAACGCATAGCCAAGAAAAACCCTACGTCTGCTCGACCTGTTCATCGCGATTTCGCCGTCTTCATGACCTCAAGCGGCACACCAAGCTTCATACCGGCGAAAGGCCTCATATATGCCCTAAATGTGGTCGGAAGTTTGCTCGGGGGGATGCATTAGCGCGCCATAACAAAGGGCCGGGGGGTTGCGCCGGCCGGAGATCCAGCATGGGCAGTTTTGGTGGGGAAGAAGAAGTGGACGTGGAGGAGTCAATGGAGGGAGTGGTTTATGGCGAACCTGAGCCTCTAGAGGATGAAGAGGGAAATGACAAACGGCCGGGTATCCGTCGACAAGCACCTTCAGGGGATGACACGTTAGACGACCCGGCCCACACCTCTCGAATTCCAAGCACATATCCCCCGATACAGGGACGCCCCCCTGGAGGGATCGCCAGTGGACAGTTTCCTCCTAGGACCGGGTTCAGCCAACAGAATGCAGGCCCCAGCAATGCTGCCGTACCGTCGGCCGCACCAATGCCATTCCCACCCATGACCGGGTCATCCTCCAGCTCACGGCCTTCAGCTCCAGGTACCGTTTATCCGCAGAACCCAATGACAGAGAGCCCCAAACCTCTTTCTCCTGGTCAAACACACAGGGGCGGTCAAGGCCCCGGAGGCGAAGGTAGCGTTGGCAGGAACCGTTCCCCAAGCACGACCTTTTATCCACAATCGCACACACGATCCGGAGGCGGTTCAGGTTCCTCTCTCGGTGTGCCTGCGGGTGGTCCACAGCTACCACCTCCTCATGTACTTAACCCGCCGGATGCAAGATACACTCTACCCAGTCAAAGCGGGCCGGCCCATCCCCCTACTCAGCCTAGCGGGCCACCGACTCACATGAGCGGAAGTGGTCCCTTGTCGTCTCACAGCAATAGTCTGTCGAGTCATGGCTATTCCGGGCATGGCAGTGGAGAAACATCCAAAGTCATGTTCGCGCAAGATGAGCGCCTATGGGCATATGTGACTAGCCTGGAGCAACGGGTCAACAATATGCAAGAGGAGATTAATTCATTGAAACATCAATTGGCTAGCGCTACGCAGCAACAACAGCAACAACGGGTTTGAAACGTCTATCAGTATAATAAAGAGCACTCTTAAGCAACAACGATTTTGCTCGCCGACCAAAAGGAAGGGAAAAGTGAATACGACGCTACAGATATTGTTCGAGCTCGATGAGCAGCTCGACTACGAAAAGTGAAAACATGGCACAGTCAAAAGCATTGACATACGTATGCTGCCGGGGTTTTTATCCGATTCTAGCATTTTGCTTGGCCTTGTTACAGATACCCCTCATGTTGCATCTTTTTCTGCCTCTTTTCTTTTTGATTTGCTTTATCCAATGGGACATTGAAGAGTTCAAAGACCGGGCGTTCTCTGTGTATGTACACGATCTTGGGTGTTGAGGCAAGACGGCAGGTTGGACCAGGCCTTTCGACACAGGAAACAGGAACGCGACAGCGCCATGATGATCTCAGTGCTCGTGACATGGGGGGAATGTTGGGCGAGGACAAAAGCCGACAAGGTATGGGATCGGAAATGAGTTCATTGACTAATGGGCCAGATGATTGTGTTGTTTCACTTATTTCACACCAATGTGTATATGTACATTACAGAATTTTCCCCATATTTTCACTTGAAGAAAGGCCAAAAGACCTCACCAGGTCTGGGTGCTTGATTGTCACATATAGGCAGTCACACCAGAAGAAGACACGCCGTCATGAGCACCGTGGACACAACTATTGGGATCAAAAAAAGGTTGTCCCGGGAATCATCATGTTCATGATCAAATGGGATCCTGATGGAATGCACTGCCAACCCCTTCTACTGGCCCTTTATCAGCTGTACCAAGTATTTATGCATTCTATCGAGTCTACCGTATGTCTTGAAAACAAGGGAATCCCGTGTGTCTTACCGTGAAGAACTCGCCGGTCATTGCGGTGGCACGTAACCGTCCACATCTGTCGAGTTGCTGAGTTCGGCATACTTTGTGTAGTTCTGTTCGTACTGCTCCAACTTGTTCATGACCGCCTTGTAGGCGTCGGTGCCGACGGCGACCCGCAATGGCGGGTTGGGCATGACGGCCAGCTCGTACATGGCTTTTGCGCCCTTTTTAGGGTCCCCTGCCTGTTTGCCATGGCGGGCGGTCATATGCTTCTCGGCGTCAAGGTCTGAAATATCTGTTAGCGATAGGTGACGGGGCGAGCTAAGGGGGAGGCGGGACAAGATGAGAAGAGACATACGGTCATACGCAGGGTGGCGTTTTGCGAACGTCATCGAGCGACCAGCCCAGTCTGTTCTGGAGGAATGTTAGTAGGGGCAAGCATGAAATGAACGAGAGCTTCGCTGGTCAGTGTGTTTGTGGCGGCGATAACTCGAGTATCTGTCACAAACCAACCACCATCGCACCGTGACAAGCAGGGAGAGATAGAGCCCAAACATACCTGAAGCCACCTGGCTCGATCAGCGTGAACTTGATCCCCCACTCGGGCTTCACCTCATGGCTCAGAGCTTCCGTAAAGCCCTCGACAGCCCACTTGCTTGCACAGTAGATGCTGAAGAACGGCACTCCTCGCTGTCCGCCAACGCTGGTGATCTGCTGGATCAAGCCGCCCTGAGGTTTTTGCTTGTCCCTCATGGTCTCCAGCGCCTCGCGGGTGACGTCCAGGAGGCCGAAGAAGTTGATCTCCATCTGCTGCCGGATTTGCTCCTCGGTGCACTCCTCGAAACAGCCCGCGAGACCGTACCCGGCGTTATTGACCACGACGTCGACGCGGCCGAATTTCTTCAGTGCATCGGAGAAGGCTTGCTTGATTGACGCCTTGTCAGTGACGTCGAGGCGCAGCGCCAGGTATGTGTCGGGGGTCGTGTTTGCGAAGGAGAGCTTGGTCGGGTCGCGGGCTGTCGCGACCACAATGTCGCCGCGATCCAGGACTTCTTGGGCGTAGTCATGACCGAAGCCAGTTGACGTGCCGGTGATCAGGAAGACTCGAGGCATTGTTTTTTGGAGGGGTCGATATGGGGTGATTTGTGTCCACTTCGGGTTTCAGGATGTATTATGCAGTGATGGGATGGCTGCTGATTGGATGATCAATGGATTGGCTCCCAGAAGACAAAGGAAAGAGGTCAATCAGTCGAAGATACAAGAGCGATATTGACAATGTCGCCTTGGTGTCGGTAACCCTCTTTACATACCTCGAAAAACTCGGCAAACTCTTTTCCGAATTGTCAACGATACCCAAGAATGACTCTCGCCGAACTTACTCCACGAAAAACTTGGGTTTGGACCGTATCAATGTCGGGATCCTGATTTCTTACCCGATTGTCCGAATTTGTGCTTTTCTGGGATTCTACGGGGGACCGAAGGGCGAATCGCAACCAGAGAAAGGACACTCGTCAAGCTCACTTGCAGCTCTGCCCCCACCGCGAGAGAACTACATCTCATCCCCCCCGCGAGCCGACCCAGCCTGGTACATCTTTAGAGAATAAGAGGCAGACAGTGTCTTGAGAAAGAGGAGGACAAAGGACAAAGACCAGGACGTTTCAGCAACCGAGTCTCTGTACGTAATTGTCGTGGACCACAATTGATCGCCATTTTATCTTCCACCCTTGGTTGCCGCTTCTGCGCCTAAGGAACGCCGTATTTCGTGGCTTTTGGTCTGCAATTTCGCGGACCCCTCGAAAGAGCTGGATACGAGGGTACAACATCATCGGGTGTCGTCGACACGAGGCGAGCTGAAGACCCGATAGCCGACGGATACGGGCGTTCTAGCGAAAAAGATACTTTCATATCCATTGCCGTGGGAGGTTGATTCCCGTTTCACCTCGACCGCCTCCTCATTCTAGAGTAGTCAGGGTTCCTGCAAGGCTAGGAGTGCTTTTTGCCACTTCCTCCACCTGCATTACCTCAACACCGGCTCGACACGTACCGGATTCCTGGACCTTTTCGAAGTGGCACGAGCGGGCGACACCAATCCGCTGGTCTGCCTCTCTGCTCGACTTCTTGGTTTGCTGACTCCCGCATCTCGGCCAAGCTCCACTTGCCGCTGCTGACCGCGCGTCTCTCAAGAGCTGTACAGATGCGTTGAACCTTGGACGAAAGAAAGGGACATTGGTAGCATTCCTTGGGACGACGACGCTTTTGGCACTTGGATAGGACTTTTCGGTCCTCTGTGTCGCGGTCGAAAGGTTCAGGACAACTGTTGCGCAGATTCATCTTGGTCAGGAGCGTAGAGATTGGATCCAGGAGCCTTGGTGCCTCATTCCAGCCTTGCAAACCAGCTTCTCTTCAGTCAGTTTCCCACCATGTGGAACAACTCGCCCCATTATTACCCTCACCAGGGCCCTCCTGGGCCCTACATTCATCGTCAATCGGTCATGAGCGACCAGATGTCCGTCTCTTCTGGTACGACTGGAGTCATGAGCCAGGGTAGCCAGGCCAATCCTCAAAGCTACACCATCCAACAACCAAACCCTCACGCCTACAGCAATACAACCACGTACTTTTACCCAAGCAGCCACGTCCACAATCTACCTTCTCACCAACAAGCCCAGAACCAACCATACATCTCGTCACCCCCAATAAGCACAGGTCCACCGCCATCGCTAACAAACATCCTGCTTACTTCCGCGCCGCAACAGTTCGCGCACGCAACAGAACACCCCTTCCTTCGACTGGCAGGACAGGGTAAACTACCCAAGCACATATTATCACGGTGGCTCTCCCAGGACCGGCTCTACGCCCAAGCCTACATTGGCTTCATCGGCTCTCTCATCGCCCGCGTCGACTTACCCTACGCAAACGTCGCGGACAAATCGACGTCATTGCGCTGGCGCATCGTCCATTGTCTGAGTGGCGCCTTGCAGAACATCCACACCGAGTTGAAATTCTTCGCCGACACCGCTGCCAAGTACGGTCTGGAGTTGGACGCGCCCACACGCGCCGATGGCATGTTTACCGCTGAGCAGGCCACAAAGCAATACATCGACTTGTTTCGAGCATTTTGGACCGATCCCAGCATGAGCCTGCTCGAGGGTATGGTTGTGCTGTGGGCGACCGAGACCGTGTATTTGAGTGCATGGAACTACGCCAGGTCTTTCTGGGAGAAGCCGACTGCCGAAGTGGGTCGGAACGAAAAGGAGACGACAAAGTCGGAAGGTGTCATGTCAGAGTTGGAAGGGAGTGAGGTCAACACGCTGATCAACGACAACGAGACCACTGGCAGGGACGGGAACGAAAATAGTACCAAGAACAGCGAGAACGACAGAGCCACGGCCCCCAACACAGAAGGCCACAACGATACTCTTCGCCACTCGAGCGACCTGGACGGCGGCGCCCTCCGAGACGCCTTCATCCCCAACTGGACGAGCAGCGACTTCGAGGTCTTTGTCGCCGAGATTGCCGAGCTGACCGACCTCCTGGCCGAGCGCGAGGACGCCGTCAACCGCAAGCTGGACGTGTACCGCGCGGTGTGGAAGCACGTCTTAGATGTCGAGCGGCGGTTCTGGCCTGATGTCAGTGGTGTTCTAGGAGCTTGAGAGAGATTGACTGACTGACTGACTGACTGACTGACTGAGCAACTGAGTCACCGGCGGAATTTTCCTCATTCGCTTGTATGTGTGTACGTACAGGACACTCGACCTGACGGTGCGGAATGCGAGCGTGGCGGGAATGTACCAAATTTTACGATTTGCTTTGATCGCGTTGTGAACATCTGGTCTCTCATACATCTATGAATGTATGTTTGTATGTGCGCACGTACCTTGGATATAGCCAACTGTCTATCAATCTATCTATCTATCAATCGATCTGTCACGAATCCTCTGAGACCCGATACCTGGGAAAAAAGGACGTCTGGGCTCAACTCGACTCAACTCTGCGTCCTAGTGGACACTTTTATTAACATTGGCATCAGACATTGTCATTATCATGTTCGTGGTAATCGTCCGAGTCTACAAAATACCTAGTGATAGAAATTCCGCGTCTACCTTATATGTGGCCAGGATGCCCGGGACAATAAAATGGCTTGGACATCATGTGGTGGTACCTCCAACTCTGCTCCTTTGCG